TTGGGGGGGGGGGGTAAAAAATTTTTTAAAAAAATATAATTTTAATTTTTTAATTTTTTTTTTTTTTTTTTTTTTTTTTTTTTTTTTTTCTTCAAAATTCTGTATGTTAGACTTAAAGCTGCAGATCGGGATCACAACTAAGGGTGAATCCAAAGCAACAAAATAATTGCTTAACCAGAAACAAAACAAAAAAGACTGTGGAATTACTAAGAGTTCAGATCCTAATTTTAACCTGTGGGGTCTCCTAGAGGGTTGTGGACAATTAATGTCCACTCAGTCTGAAAGATTTGGAGAAAGGACTGAGCAAATATTACAAAATTAAGACGTATTTTACTAACAGACTGCTTCAGGGTATTTGTAAAAATAAAGGTTGAAAAACAAACAATTACCATGAATTTTACTTTTTAATCAGGCTGTGAACACTTTGCAGATCCACTATATAGGAGTCCACACGATTGCTTGTCGGGGCCAGAATGAGGAACTGTGTATCAATGGTACCTACTATGGAGCCACACTGGCAGAGATTAGAGGGCCATCATGAAGGAGCCACAGAGGGTGAAGATAGCCAGGAGCTGCAGGGATAAAGGTTGATGAGAAGAAAGAAATAAGAGAATCTGGTATAAAAAAGGAGGGTGAGGGGATATTGATAAAAAGAAAGCAAGTAGGGAAGCAAAAGCACCTCTAACTCGACCTGAGGAGGTCCAGGAAAAAGCCAGAGATCCAATTAAAAACCCACTCGGTCAGTCAGTGTCAGTGCTGACACAGCCGTTCCAGCAGCGGCCAGCTTCCGGACAGTCACTGGAAAGGTATGGCAGCTGCACAGTGTAAATTACACAAGATGTCATATTTGGTTATGATGAGGCATAAAAGCAAAAGATCTGGTGTGACAAAGCAGCCCAGCCTCTAGTTCACAGCTGGGTTCCTCATATGTTCCACCCAAAAGCAACGTGGGAGAAATGGGGGGCTTACCCTGTCACAATTCAGTGAAAGCCAAAGTAGAAAAAAAAAAAAGATTTATTTATATCAACCTGATGTATACCCCATCCAAAATGGCGCCTGCTCTTGTTGCTAGGCAGAGCACAAAAATAAAGATGGCGGCGGGCAAGTGGCAAACTGGGGAGTGCAGGGTCTAATCAGTGATGATTACTGGGGGGAAGGGTGTGGTGGGATTCAGTGTTTATGGAATATTACCACAGCTTGGTCTGAATGTACAGCACAGCGGTTAAGTACTGGGGTAGACATTTACGCGTGGCACTGCGGCAGCGATGGCGGCGGCAACGGCGGCGGCGTCCTCGTACCCCGCTAGAACATATTGTTCTAACAAATACATCTTCTGACTTAAATATCTCTGTGAACACTTGGATTATTTGTAGAATTACAGAAGGAAAGGGAAGGGCATAGCAGATAAGAGGTAAGATTTAAAAATCTCAACATTGCTTCAAAACACCTCACTTTATCTTAATACCTAAAGCATTTGATGCAACTCTCACTGCGGTTGCGTTCTTCAGAAAGTTATCTCATAAATTCTAGTAATCTGTCCATTAAAGCAAAGGGATCAAAGCTGGAAAAGTTTGGCCCACTTTGCTTAAAGACAGAAAGACCTCTCTATCTAAATATTTCAAATCAAGCACTTGAGATGATCCTTTAAGACTTATAAAATCTTCAGCTACACTAATATTAATATTTCATCACATTAAGTAGCTCTCAAACAGCAATGCTAAGTCACTGCTAATTACGAAAAGTAAAATAAAGCAGTGCAAACTGCTCGGTGTCATACAGAAATTGAAATTGTTGAAAGTTCGTGAGGGATTTGCAAAAAGCACGTTCAAAAATATCTGAATCTCCCAAATGATGCATCCTCGTGGGTAACATACACACAACACAGAATACATAAACAAGTTAATCTCAGACTGCATCTGAAGACATCTGCAAATACTGTACACATATACAGTAAACATACTTTTTTCAGCTTTTCACTAAGACATGAAACAGATAATCCAGTATTTATTTTTTCGTTCTTCATATCGTGGCAAAAATTATGCATTTCCTGTAACGCTTTTGTTCTGACTTTGAAATAGTATACAGAAAGAAATCATCAGCGGGTCAAAAATGCAGCCTTGTACCAGTAAGTGCACTCGTTTTCATGATCATCCAAATATCTAATGAAAATCTTGAACAGAAAAAACTTTGATGTTAGCTGAAAGATCACTGCGACCATCATGTCCTGCAAATACGATCCCCCAAAAAACGTCAAACGACTCAACATGACCTAATTTATGTCTATAAGTTTGAATCCAAGTTGTGTACTACTAAAAAATATGGATAGCATGCATGGAAACTGGTCAGAAATCATTTTTAGAGTGAAAGATTTATTTTTATGTCTTTATTCATCATCAAGACGACCCATACTGTACTTTCAGCTCGTCTCTGGGCTTTCAACTGCACTCCTCTTGACATCTTTAGACAAAGATGTATTTTATGACACATGAATCAGGGAGTGTGAACCGGGAACAATAACTCGCTGAAGACAAGTTCAGCCTTTGCACCAAGACTAGATTGCAAAAGCGAACTCAAAGTCTGAAGACAAAAAGAAAAGACAGGCGTCGAAAAGAGAGATCTGTTCGGCTCATTCCTGCGAAATAATGAGCTGTTTGTTGACATTTGCATTCCAGAAGGTACAAGAACTAAGGAACGTGAACAAATGTGTCAGTGAAACTGTACTGGAGGCAATCATTTCACCATTAGCAGAAAGAAAATCTAACAAAGCAAAACCAACATCTTTGTTTGAAAGCTGTTTCTTTAACCAAGACTTTTCCAACATGAGTTATATTTGCCTTCAATGAACGTTGAGATGGGTTGAAAAATTAGAAAACGCAACATGAAACCCAGTAATTTTGATCAATTATAAAACAGACATATGAACATTAAGGCAAGCTGTTACCAGGATGCTCTCATATTACAAGATAGTGTAGTTCTGTATATTAAATCAAATTAAATTCAGTTTATTTATATAGCACCAATTTACGTCAAATGTCATGTCAGGGAACTCAACAAGGCAAACAGACATGATAAAATAAATAAAGGACAGCCCTCACAGATGCATGTATCAGTCTCATTTAACTCAGATAGATTTTTCTTCCATATGTATATTAAGAGCTGTAGGAGGGCTTCACACTGAATTCCAAATCTTAACACAGGACATGGATAATTTCTCTCTTTTTTTGTACCCAGAGAAAAGTTTGCATCTTTGTTGAAAATTATTTGATGAGGGTATATCACACATATCTGATCAAAGAGAATATAGACACTTTAATAAAATATAAGATACATAATTAATTATACAGTATGCTTATGTACAGCAGGAAGGTATTCTAATTAAACGTTTTTTGTTTTTTTTTCCCATTAACACGAACACTCTGGTTTTACTCACTTTGCACAGAAATGTGAAATAAACACATATTATAGAGCACGAATGTTTCATGGAAAAAAGGAGCGAGGATGTTGAACATAATCAAGGGTAAGGGAAAGGAAAAAAATAATGAGCCTGCCGGTATATTAATTAAAGTCAAATCATGCTGCAGGCCCACCAAGCAGGCCTGTTAGATCTCAAAATTTAACCTAAGTAAAGATCATCCAGATAATGATTCAACCTGCGATATACATAAAGTCATGAATAATATTTCTATTCATCCCGACATACATTAAACCTAGTTTACATTCAACAAAGACCCCTACTGTGAGGGCTACATTCAGATTTATTTTTTAACTTTCCTGTAAGAGATTTTAGGTTCAGAATGCGTAATGCGCTGATAATTATATATATAAAAAACTTACATTAAAAAAAACAATCATTTTCTTTTCACTTTTAAGACAGACCGACATTTTTTTTTTAAGTTATGCAACGCGTATGCGCTCCTAAAGCACACTGTGGAGATGTAAGGGAGAGCGGAGAACAATAAGAACGACAAAAACTTGGCCATATTTCGCAATGCAAAATTCAAAAGGACTTTTCAGAAACTATTTCATACAGCATTCACAAAAGTACACAGAGTAAAAGAGAAACAGCTGCTGGGTTTTAGGCTACAACATGAAAACAGAGGCCCACAGTTTGCGTTCAGGTTCTCAGAGGGAGGGGATGTTGTTGCACTGCTTTGGTGGGAACGTGTCCACGCCACTGTGGCATGTGTACCATCCGTTCACGATGCTCTTCTGAAAGGGAGAAGCCGAGGAGAAAGTCCGCGAGGTCTGGGCAAAAGCGTGACCAGTCTGGCCGCAGGGGTACTGGGAAGACTGGGACCTGTAGCTGCCCCTCTGCAGCAACAAAGGGTCCAAGAGGGGCTGCGACCTGTGCGCGGAGTAGTCCAAACTGCTGTCAAACGCGTGATGGAAGCGTGACCTCGGGGTCGACTCGTCCCGGCTCTCAGGGGACAGGGGGACATCCTGAGTGGAGGTGGGGGCTTGAGGGGGGCTGATCTGGCCAACGTCCGACGCTCGGGCCGGCCTGCCCTCCGCAGCATGACCCCCGTCACCGGGAGGCGCGTCGCCGCCTTTGGCGACGTGCTCCTTGGTGCAGTGGAGCTTCATGTGCTTCCGTAGAGAGCTCGGGTGGGTGTAGCACTTGTCACAGCCCCTGACCTTGCACATGTAGGGTTTATCACTGGAGTGGACGTGGGAGTGCTTCTTTCTGTCGCTGCTGTTCGCGAATCTCCGGTTGCAGCCGTCAAACTCGCATTTAAACGGTTTTTCACCTAAAACGTGCAGAGACAGAAACGGGGACGAGTCATGAAAGCGCATACAGGCCTGAACATCCAACCATCATATGGCATACGTCACCAAAATGCTGCACAGAGATGGAGAATTGACGGAGGGCGGATCTTCCGTCAATAACGGGTCCCACCATCCATACGCATCCCTTAATGTGACACGTATATAAGGCTCTGGGTTGAAATTCAGTTAAAAACTCTCTCTCTCTCTCTATATATATATATATATATATATATATATATATATATATATATATATATATATATATATATATATATATGCTTTAAGATCACGCTTTAAGAGCGTCTTCAGGGTTGGTTAACAGTTTTCCTTGTAGCTTTCCATCACTTCCCATTGAAACGTGTAATACATTTTTGCCTCATTGCCATTCTGTTTGAACAAATTAATCACTTCAGTTAACTGCACAACAGCTCTCTGCAAGCATCATGGCAGTACAGTTTTTCTAAGTATTTCTAAAGTACATGTGCTTCATTTTCTGAATGAATTGGACTTTGTTGTGTTTTAATCAGACTGGATTTAATGTAACTGAATTGAAATTATGATTGGATTGTGTGGAGTCTGATTTGACTGAATATGTCCACAGAGTTGGATATCATTTGGCCCTTCCTGTATTTTGAAGTTTCTTGAGAAGACATCTGTTGTAAACTGTTGCTATATAAATAAATAACTGGATTCCTTATGTGTGTTTTATGATACTTTTTGTTATTACATAAAGAGCCTGATTAATATGCACACTGTACGCATGTGCAGCTGTGTGATAGCTTAGCCAGTGTCACATGGGGATCTGTTGTGCCTCTTTCTTCCGCTGCTCTTAATAATAAAACAATACATAGCAGAAATAAAAGACAGCACCCAAGGAATATGTATTTAGTCCAGTCCTTTTCTTTTCATTTTAATTTTGTGAGAAAGCAATTCACTTTATTTATATAATTCAAAATTAAATGCCTTTATTTTAACGTAATTAGGCTGACATGTGTGGAAAATGGAATAAAATATAACTGCATGCTGATTTATTTCATATGGTTGGGTGTTTGGTAAAAAAAAAAAAAAAGAAATGCCAGGTTGTGAAGTTAAAAAAGCATTTTACGAGATATTTCACGGTTCATGGTAACATATGAAATGCCCTTCAAAGGAAAAGTGAGGAGGCGGGGGGGGGAGGAGGGGGGACGGCAACGGGATAAATTTTTAAACACAGCCTATTTTTATTTACAGCTAAAGTCCACCATTTCCTCAACTTTTTAAATTGTTATTATTTCCCACAACATCATGGCTACATCACAGAGCGGTGTGCTCTGTGAACACAGGAAGATAAATCCCTGGGAGGCACAAGCAGCGTAACGGCTACGTCACAGCTCTCCGGTGTCCCGGCATTTATTTAATAATTTCTCTGAATGAAGTGAGGGAGGCACCCAAAGCGCCAGGCCTGCTGCCTGCTGACTGCAATCGTTTGCAGCTGTCTTACTACTTTCTCATCTGTGGCTCCTGCGTAAGGACTACACGTGTTTTTTTTTTTGTTTTTTTTTTCCCTTTCTCTCTCTCTTTTTCTCCTGAGACATGCGAGTAAAAACTGACGTGGACGGCGAAAAAAAAACATAATAAAACAAAATAAAACCCCACAAAAAAATTAGAACGTTTAATCGCAAAATACGTAGCACGGGTCTAAATGAAACATATAATAATAATAATAATAATAATAATAATAATAATAATAATAATAATAATAATAATAATAATAATAATAATAAAATTGAAAAAATAAAAAGCTTACTGTGAGACAGATAAACGCTAAAAATACATTTTTAATCAATAATAAATATTTGACAATTTAAATGCATTATTATTATTATTATTATTATTATTATTATTATTATTATTATTATTATTATACTGACCTGTGTGAGTCCTCTTGTGGATCTTTAGATTCTCTGATCTAGCAAAAACTTTCTCACAGCCGTGAAATGGACAGGGAAAGGGCTTCTCCCCAGTGTGGACCCTGACGTGATTCACCAGCTTGTATTTGGCTTTGAAAGGCTTCCTGTCCCTCGCACAGTTCTCCCAGTGACAAATGTATTCAGAGTGCTCGGGTCCTCCGACGTGCTCCACTGTCACATGGGTGACAAGTTCATACATGGTCCCGAAGGCTCTGGAGCAGGGCAGCTTCCCCGTTCCTGCCTCTTTGCCGTCACTCCACTTGCACACTAGCTCATGCTTCACCGTCTGTTTGGAGCACCTGAGGAAGGCGTCGGCTCCCCCACGCTGGATCGCCATGTTCAGGGGCTTGTAGAGACCCAGGAACTGGGTGACAATCTGCTGGCTGTTTCCCTTGGGGTTGATGGTCTGGCCGTAGGAGTGAGTCCGGGTGAGGAGGTCGCCAGGTAGACCCAGCATCATCTGACCGCCGAGGTCGCGGGACGCGTCCGTGGAGGCGTGGGCCTGCTCCTGGTAGCTGGCAAAAAAAGCGTGGCTCCTGTTGTCCCTGCAGCCAGCAAAGTCCCGGTACCTTCCCATCCCGCCATGTTGGTTGGGTCTTGGTGCCAGTTGATCAGTGACGGGTGGCATGCCGGCTCCAGAGAGATTTGCTCCAATGATAATGCCCCTAGGGCTGTGCTCTAACCGGTGACTGGGATATCCAGAGTCTGAAAAACTGGGAACCGAGTGGTCAACATATGCACTGGACCTCGTCTCGGGGTAGTCTCGCAAATTGTGCGAGGGGCAGAGTTTTAAGGAACTGCCAGTGGGGTGTCCCATGTGCTCCCCTGCCAAAGGTGGCAGCACCACGCTGGGTTCAGTATTGCTCTCCCCGGGGTTGACGCAAGAGAGAGGGCAGCCACTAAACCTCGAAAGGCTTGTCATGTTTTGTTGTGAGTTTGCCTGTGAGTTTGCAGAAATCAACCAGTGCAAGCAGTCAGGATGTACCTAGAAACTCTGCTCCCATGTTGCTGTTTTTTTTTCTCTCCCCTTGCTGTATATCATCTGCATGTGAAATTCTTGGCCGTGAACATCGCGGAAGCTGCAACCAGACTCAGTTTCGTTAGAGTTGGTGTGAGTCCCATGCCGGTTCACTTTGCCCTCTTGATTTGTGGCAATAACCGTGGTAGTAAAAAATGCTTCGAAACAGGCCATGGTGCAATATAAAAGCACAGCAGGCAAACCTGCTTTTAAAAAGGGAGCTTTGGGATTGGTTGGAATGTGCGGTGATTGACAGGCGCAGGGTTTGTTTTAAAAGGGACACGCAGGAGTTCACCGCACGACTCCGTTTTTCAAATATCGCCGAGAAAATGCTTTGAAATGTGCCGCGGTGCTACTCCCTAATATCGCTGCCTCTTTAACTTCAGGCGCACTCTCATTACAGCCCTTCTCTAAAATCTCCACATATAGCAGGAGAGAGAGGGAGGGGGGTGGGGGGGGAATGCACAGGTTAATGTTTATTAGAAATCATCTGGTAGAAGTCAAGTGATTAGGTCCAGACATGAGCAAAACACAACACAATCAAAGTCTGCAGAGGCTTTTTTCTTTGCCAAAACAACTACTCCTGCCTGGCAAGAACAATAGGTTTTGGGCTCTGCGTGTCCAGGCCAATTATTCTCAAGACTAGTATTAGAAGTAAAAAATGAAACACTTGATAGCAGTGAAAGTTACAGGGAAATGTGTTTTATTTAAGGTAAAATGTATTTTAAATGAAACTGCGTAAACAAAGCGTTCACAAAAAGTGTTTATTAAATATTTAAGTCACTACGATTTTAGAGATTTAAAATATAACTCTATTAATTTAACCATATATACATGTGGGGGGGTTTTAATGCAAGTTTGAAGTGCTTGGAAAAAGTTAACTGCAATGAAGCAACAAGTAGTAGAGCCGATTTTTTTTTTTTTTATGATTATCTTTTTTATTAGTAGTACAAATGATTTTTTTTTTTCTTACAGAAGTGTCATTTGGAGAACAGGACAGTCCGTACTACTTTATACCTTAGAGCCCAATGTAAACCATCTCTGTAAATAAAGCCTCTCTCATTAAGGAACGTAAATAAATTAATAATCTTCAAAAAGTGCGTCCTGAAGGCTGGCGTACATGTTTTTTTTTTTTCCCCCTCCATTTTAAAAGAAAGTGGTTATGTAAAATGTAAATTGTGAAACGTGACAAACTCAGTGAGCTTGCATGAAAACTTTCTTATATATACTTTGAGGTGTTGTGAGGACACCGAGTTCTCCAGTGCTGCTGCTGCTACAGTAGAGTACATTTTTCCTGTGGTTCACCTCGTTTTTTTTTTTTTTTTTTTTTTTTTTCTTGACGTTGCTAAGGCTCCTCAACACCTCGGACAGCTAAGGCACATTCTTTCATCTTTTACTTTTATTTAAATCCACACAATGAGGCTTGGGCTCAGGGCTGTAGCTTATGTAGGTTTTAGGTGAAAGCCCCCCTTTATTTCCAAAGACTGTTGCTGGCATATTTTCTAACTTTCCCGCCACTAAATACACAGGAAAATATAACAAAAAAAAAAAAAAAAAACAAATAAAAAAAATCTGCCTTCAGTTTTTCTGTGTTCTAAAGACAGCAGTAAATCAAAGGGACCCACTTGACAGTAAGTGCTGTAAAATAGTAAACAGGCCCAGAACTGGCCTAAATCTGCCCCAATTGTCATTGGCGGTCATGTCTGTCAACCTTTCACCTGATGCATTTCTGAAAATAATTGAGATCAAAAGGTCAACAAACTGTAGGTTTCCAATCTGCCACTCAGCCTGCACAAAGGTCTGGCAAACCTGATGATTTATGGTCTTTTCTTTTCAGGAAAAGAAAAAAAAATGTGGGATGTGCAAAGAGATGTTATGATTCTGAGGCTGTTTGGCTTCACCTTTGCAGTAACAGAGTCATAGCAGCTGATGTGTGTTCCTGGGCCTGTCTGAAAACTGATGTTTTTCTAAAGAGGGGG